ATTCTCCTCTCGGGATCTTGGGCACACACGCACACGCGCCTGGCGTGAGTTTTAAGCCACCATGTCCGGGATGCAAACCGCGGTCGACTATGTGGGAGTCCAGCGACATAGCCATTACGCTAACTGCTGGTTCCCCCAAGAAAGCATTCTAGTGAAGTTCTCTGTGTGAAGAGGTAACTAGCTGTTTGGTGAAGTTTGACTTTTCCGGGTTTAATAATTGACAAAAAGGGGGGGGGGTGTGGGGTGGGAAGAGTGCAGGGAACAACTACTACACCAGAACAACAAAAGGAAAATGATGTTTTCCCTTTTGGAAATCTACCCACTTAAACAAGTAATTACAGTTAAAAAAAAAAATTCAGAGCACTCTGGACAACTTATGAAAACATGATACGATTAAGGAATTGTCACGGTGCAGGTCTTTAATCAGAGGAGGAATGAGAGAGGTAATTACCTGTCCCATTGACATCAGCCTTTCCATCACTACTCTACCCTAGTGGGCACTTTGCAGGGCGGACGGGTGTAGTTCTCTTTTATACAGACCACAGGTGGGCGCTGATGTTTGCTGTGTAGTCACGCAGTGTATTAGCAACTGTGTAGGAATTTAACCCTTACACCCCAAAATACCTCCTTTAAGTCAGATTAAGAATTTGTGCAGGCACGGCTGTGGAAGTGCACACTCCATGGGGCTGTTCAACAGGTTGAGCCCAAATTGGAGAGCCCTGGATTCGATTCCTAGCTCAACCTAAAAAGCTGGGTACGTTGGTACCCCTGGAGTCCCAGCTGTGTGGGAGGCTACAGTAGGAGGATCATGATACAGCAAGACGCTGTCTAAAAAACCACACTCTTGCACACCCACCCACAGATTTTGTCTAGAACAGTACTGACCACGTCCTAGTGGTTGGCAAAGAGGAAAGTTTGGAAAAAAGAAAACCAGTTTGATAGCATGGTTTAATAAGGGATCCCATATTCCTTAGAAGAACTCAAACATCATGCATAAAATGTTTACCTGCTCATTAATAAGCAAACTTAGCAGGAAATAGCACTCTCTCTCAAAGATACTAAGACAAAAGCAGAAACTACCGGTCTTCCTGTTATACTTCCTGTTTAGGCTCCCCCCAACAAAAACTTTCAGTATATTTATCTAATGACTCATGACAGTTATTGTCAATTCTCAAAAGGACATGTGAAGGGCCAGTAACTCCATTTCGTAAATGCATACACCGATAAAACCCAGTACTACAGGCAAAATATTCTGTCGTTGGAAAATTAGCGCCTTTTTCTATGTTCTTCTGTGCAAAAATGTGTCATGACTTTCCCGACAGCCCAATGTATTACTCAGGAATGTTAACAACCTGCTGCCTACGGGATAAGTTTTTGTTCATTAGAACACTAAGAACTGTTTATGATCATTTAACATACCAAACATAATATATCTAATTTAAAACTGCAGGCTATTTTCATATATACACACATATATCATACGTAAGGAAAGCGGAAATTTCCAAACCACCGTTGTTCATTTAGTACTAAGAATTACGGACGGCATCTTAATATAATACTGAGTGAGTGCTTTGGTTTCTCCTCTAAAACAAGTAGGCATAATTACATTACATGGATTGATAAAACAAACGGATCAGTTGGTCTCTCGAAGTCACTATTTAAAAAATAGTTCAACAGTAGTGAAAATTCAAGAGTTTTGTAAAAAAACGAGTGTTAAAATTGATAATAGCACTTTCCCTTTTGTGACATCATGGATAAGTAACATTCAATAGTTAAGGTCCACTGTGGTGTATTAAGATGATTCTTCTAACATAAGATTTACTGTTTCATGGTTTACCTTCTATTTTTGCCCAATTTGACAAAAGTCAAAACTGTTCTAGAGGAGGTTCTATAACAGTCCAATTTAAAGACCAGCCCCAAACAACTAACTATGAAAGTAGACTTCTGTTTTTTAAAAAGAATGATTTAATTTTACTTATTCTTTTATTTTAATTTGATGAGAGAGAGAGAGAGAGAGAGAGAGAGAGAGGAAGAGAATGTGAGAAAGGAAGCCACCAGGTTTGAGATTCGAATCGTGGTCAGCCATGTGGGAGTGTCCAGCACCTTAACCACCATGCCACCTGCTGGTCCCCGAAAGTAGACTTCTTAATATACGTGGCCAGACTTCGTAATACTTGGCCACTGGAGTGTTCTAAACACCTGACAGTGGGAAATGAACTGTAAGCCAGGGTTGAGTTTCCACTGTTAGAGACAGCACAACCCCCAAAGATCCTATCTTGAAGCCAAGTCTGAAAGAGGAACCTATCTTAGTTGCAAAAGAGTGCTGTCGTTTTGACGGAGGGGATGATCACAGGCAAGAGACCAACAGCCACTGTGAGTCTCTGCTGGTGATGGTGTATTTCAGAAATTACTTTCTTTCCTCCTATCTTATCTCTTCATCCCCCTCCCAGCAAACTACAGCCCTTGGAGATGACAAGAGTTTAAAAAAGAGAAAAAGAAAGAAGTATACATCGCTTAGTAACAGACTTTGTTTACAAGTAAGCATGAAATGACAAGTACTACTTGCTGGAAGGCAGACCGCAAGAGGTTCTGCCTTAATGAGGAGGCTGGGATCAGACTTTTTTCAAACCTCAAGTTCCAGTTTCTAAATTCAGTCTTACATTTTTTTCCCTCAATGTCTGTATTACCTCATCAACAAGATCAGTGGTATATTCATTGCTATCTCTCTCTTGCTCTGTCCCTCTCTGATCAAAATTAAATTAATTAATAATAAAGTTAAAACATAATTCTTTTACGAAAAGAATTATTTAATTTAATTCCTCATTATTTTTTTTTTTTACATTTGACCAGAGAGACAGAGAGAAGGAAAATGAGAAAGAAAGCAAACCACCAGGTCCAGGACTCAAACTGTGGTCTACCATGTGGGAGTCCACTGTCTTAACCATTATGCCATATTTTTATTTTTTTGTCAGGGCCAGCAGTCGTGTGGTTGCAACTCTGGGCTTCTATATGGCCGACTGTAGTTAGAATCCTGGAGCTGATGGATTGAAACTGACACCAGGCATATGTGCATGCGTGCCCAAAATCCTAGGAGAAAGGAGAAGAGATTGCAGCATGGCCGTCCCCACCAGGAGGTATGTGATTTTTCACTTTGGCTCTCTGTTTCTCCAGCGAGCACATGCACCTTATGGCAAAAACTTTAAAAATCTTTTTTTTGGTCATAGGGCATGTACACTTGCCAGAGACAGACAGAGAAAGAGGGCAAGTAAGATATGATCCTCCTGACACCAGCAGATGGCGTAATGGCTATGTCGCTGAACTCTCATGTAGTCGACCACGGTTCAAATCCCCGACCCGGTGGATTAAACTCACGCTGGGCACATGTGCGTGCGTGCCCAAGATCCCGAGAGGAGAATGGAAGTGAAGGGTATGCGGCGTGGTCATCCCCCTGGGGGGTGACTTCTCGCTTTCTGTTTCTCTGTCTCTCTCTGTCTTTCTGGCAAGCGCACGCGCTCTATAACAAAATCCTCTCCCCGCCCGCCAAAAAAAAAAAGATATGACCCCCAAGGAGGATGGCCACATTGTAATCCCTTCTCCTCTCAGGATTCTGGGCATGCATATGCCTGGCATGGTCTTCCAAATATTAGGCTACCACAGAGAATACATGTGGATTTATTTCCATTTATGTTCTTATCAACTAATTAGTGTCGGAGAGCATGCAGGTAGGCGAGGATCCTACTGATGACTGGAAGAGGTGGTCACACGAGGAGCGCCCACGACAATACTCACTCTGCTCTTCTTGCTGCTGGACATTTTATTCTTGATGTAGCTGAACGTGCGGCTGACTTTCGTTCCACTCTTCCCCTCGGAGTCTTTCTTGGAGGGGCTTGTTGGCAGGAATTTATAGTTTTCTTCTGTTATACTAAATAAAAACAAGAAGTTTTTTTGGTTTTTTTGTTTTTTTAATAAAAAGAACTGCAGAAGTAAAAAGAGAAACAGGACTAGAGGGAGACAGAGGCTGACAAATGGCTTTAGGCAGCATCAAAAAGTCTCTGCCGCTACGATGCCCAGGTTCTGTTGTCAACCCTTGCTAAATTTTCTTCTCTCAGCCACTAATGCTTTAATTAAGGACTCCTAGTGATCTGATGTTAAAGGCATCTGTCAATTACCTATTAATTACTTTATCTACAACTTTGTAAACCGAAATAGCATTCAAGCTGCAAACTTCTTAGCAACAAAGTGCTTGAAAGAAAAGCCATGTATGTAATGAAAAGACAGGGTACTTGTTGAAAAGGACTGCGAAACAAGCAGTCTGGTGACTGGCTGACTGCACATCCAAGTTTCTTAAAGAGATCACATTTCTCTTTTTTAAAGCGTTTTGGCAAACTGGACAATCAAGACTGGAGCAATCCATGCAGGTCTGTACAATATGAGAAGGAAACAGAGTGAAGATCAGGCAGAACTGAGGAAGAATGTAGAAAGATCCATTTTAAGAGTTTTATAGGAGCCAGCAGGTGGTGTGGTGGTTAAGGTGCTGGACTCTCACATGGCTGGCTGCAATTTGAGTCCTGGACCCGGCAGCTTGAAAAATCACACCAGGCATATGTGTGTGCATGTCCCAAATCCCAGGAGGAGAAAGGACTAAGGCATGGCCATCCACCCCTGGGGGTGATTTCTCACTTTCCCTCTCACTGTCTCTCTGTCTTGCTTTCTCTGGCGAGTACATGCACCCTGTGGCGAAAACTTTAAAAAAAAAAAAAAGAGAGAGAGAGAGAGAGTGAGAGTTTTACAAACATCCAGAATTATAGATCTCCTTGTCCAGGAAGTCTATATAAATTCTAAATCCATCCAAAATAGAAAGGTTTTGATTTTAAAAACTCTTCAGTGGTTGATTTTCTTAAAGAATGCTGAGCACTTGAGAGAGTAATTCATTAGATAGAAAAGGAATCCATTTGTACTACTTTGCTTAGGTGCTCTAGAACAAGTTCTTATCCTCAAGTGTTTGCTTCATGGGCCTAAGGGACAGGGTTGGTGGAAACAGAACCGTAAAGGGTCATCTTCAACAGCTAGTCTATTCGTAAGTGTTGATCAAAAACAAAGCAGTCTGCTTTAAGATGAAGGGTAAATGGCATGAAAAACACTGCTCTACAAGGACAAAGAGTAAGATTTGAAAACAATGTAAAGAGAAGCACTCACTGAGAGGGTTCTGGGTCACCAAGTCGTAACCGATCTTATAAAAAAAGGAGGGCAACTTAAAAAAATGGTAGGGCGGGACCAGCAGTTGGCGTAATGGCTATGTCACTGGACTCCCATGTAGTCGACTGCAGTTTGAGTTCTGGATCCAGTGGTTTAAACTCATATCGGGTGCACGTGTGTGCACATCCAAGATCCCAAGAGAAGAATGGAGGAGAAGGGATTGCGGCATGGCCATCCCCTCTTGGGGGTGATTTCTCACTTTCTGTCTCTCTGTCTTTCTGGCAAGGGCACAAATCCTATAGCAAAAACCTTTCCAAAAAAAAAAAGGCAGGGCAAAAATGAGAACCCTCATCATAAACTAGAATATTGAACCTCAGAAACATGAAAAGAGAAAGGTAAGTGATAAGAACAGAAATCTTTTGCTTGCTGTCAAGTAAAGAGCCCATTCATTTACTTGGACACCATTCTGTATCATATACATGTAAAAAAAAAAGGGAAAAAAAATGGATTAAAAAAACAGCTATAAAGCTTAAAAAAGGTAAGAAGGTAGCAATACTGGATGAACACATATGAGAGTACTTAAAAACTTTTGTTGATAAGTGGAATTAAAGTACAAGTTTATTTTTGGTGCAAAAAAAAAAACCCAAAACCCTGATATCAATCAATGTACAACTGTTGGATAATACACATTATCTCTGAACTTTCAGGAGACCACACACACACACAGACACCTGCACATACATGCGAGTTACGAAACAAAATAATGGGGCTTAAAAAGCCCCTATAAGCAATGCGGGCGAAAGTTCATAAAGTCAGATGTAAGTGTACTTTAGCATGAATAGATGCAAACAATAATCTTCGACATGAAGGCAGTGTCAGGAATAGCAGTGGAAAGGTGTTAATTTGAAGAAACACAGCCTTCATTACAAAACCACTTGTAATCATCATTCCAGATTTATCACTCAAGGAGTGAGGAAGCCAATGAGCTCGACTAACACAGCTCACTCAATGGAATGCTGAAAGGGATTCTGGTCTTCCTGCATTTCTTTTGGGAAAAAGTAAGAACATAAATGCATAGTACCTCTCGGTCAGATTAGCACTGGTGGTGTGGAAGGGCCGCGCATCTAGAAAACAAAAAGGTAGGAGAAAAATTAGAACAGAAGGATTTTTATCCTGCTGACAGGTAAAATATTTAAAAGTCTACGACGACACAGCATAAGCAGAAATAACATCTGAAAGTCAGTGTGTGGTGCTTCTTTCTTTTAAAGGTTTGGAAGAATAAAAGAATTAAACTTGGAACCTTCAAATCAGGACTGGAAATCAGCAACACGGGGGTGTATTTCACGGAGAGAGTACGTTTAACTTAGGATTCGAGAAACTTGAAAGATACCCCAAGTCAACATCTTTTTCTGATGTTTAAACGCACGGGAAGCATGTTTGATTCCTACTGTCATCAATGTTCAGTTTCCGCGGGCCTTTGTTCTGAAGTGATGTCAGAGGAAGAATATAAAATGGGAAATTCAATGTCATATTTCTGTCACTGTTAGTCCTGCGTTCATCTGTTCCCAGCAAATGGAGCTCTGAGATTTTCCTGAGAACCACTGGAAACAGATGAGGGAACAAGAGCGAGCCTCGGAACTGACTTGTAAAGTCTTGGCCTGGTCACTAATTTGGGACGAGACGTCTAGATTTCATCTGTGAGATGAGAGAGATAAGACAAGACTAGGTCCTCTGCAGGCCGCCAGTGATAAAATGAACGGGGCAGATGCATTATTCCTGCTTGTGCATTCAATGGACCATAAACTGAAGCAGGCCATTAGAAAAAGCTAAGCTAAATAGCAGGAGTAGACAGAGAAGAAAACAGAAGGAGCGCTTATTATTTTCATCTGGCACATGTTAATAATGTCTGAGCTACTGGAATCTCAGATGAGAGCTAGGTCTCAACCACACAGTAATAAAGGCTTTTCTTTTTTAGGAAATGAGGTATAGAAATACTTTCTGCGTATATTCCAGTAGACTCAATGCAACTACTCAATGTAACTATTTTAATTGTTACTCAACAGCTACTCAATACACCCATTGCTATAGTATTATGGACAAAACACACCCTTTCTCCTTGAGGCTGGTTTCAAGAGTCTCTGAGATTACTGTGAATAAAACATTAATCTGATGATCTGAAGATGTTCTACCACAAGATTATGAGCACCTGAAACTCCCCCATATATTTAAGATTCTCAACAGAAATGCAGAATTATAGTTACAAGAAATAGTAAAATTGCAGAATTGTAGTTGTAAGTAATAATAAAAAGTAGTTATAAGTGAATAATGCATAGGAAACTCAAAAACAAATTCTGGGGACTAGCAGATGGCGTAATGGTTACGTCACTGGACTTCCATGAAATTGACCTCAGTTCGAGTCCCAGACCCAGTGGCTTAAAACTCACACCAGGCATGTGTGTGTGTGCATGCCCTAAGTCCTGAGAAGAGAATGGATGAGCAGAGATTGTGTCATGGCCATCCCCCCTGGGGCATGATTTCTTACTTTCTGTCTCTCTGTCTTTGACTCTCTGGCAAGTGCATGTGCCCTACAGCAAAAAATCTATCTTTAAAAAAAACCGAATTCTAAGTTTTCCAAAGACTGTCTTCTATAATTTTTCCTTTTCCCCCTTTGGAATGCTCCCCCAGTTCATTTATGAAGTACAGTAATGAGAGAGTGTGAGAGGGAAGGATCAACAGAGGGCCAACGAGAATAGCCGGGATCTGCCCCCAGGTCTGCGTGATCACCACGTGGAACTATCACACTCTTTGTTGACTTTAAAAAGCAAGAAGGTGGTATGAATCAGTAGCTTTAAGACTTTTTCCACCCAGGAGCCTTCAATGACATAAGCAGCATTAAATTCTCTCAGGCCACCAGGATTCTGCTGTATATTTAAGTAATTACCTAGAATGCTACCACCCTAATAATACAAACAAAATTAGAATAAAATTCATGGTGCAGAAAAATACCAACACTAAGCCTGGCCATGAATAAGCTCCCAGAAGATGTTGGAGGAACAAGTCAAAAACTGCACAAGCCTATGAAAATCTGAGTTCTGCTAACATGACCTTAGATACAGTCCTGAAAACTGTGATTAACCCACTAATGCCTCTGAAATTCCTAAAGTATCGTTCAGTTTTCAGAGCATTCAAGAAGTTTTTTCCATGACAAAATTACAGGCAAAAGAATCAGATCGCTAAAGTTAGCACATCAAGTATTACTGCAGGTAAACAATCTACTTCAACTCGATATTTTTAAGGCACAAAATAACCTGCAGACTTCTTATACTACATCCAGGGAGGAAGTTCTGGATGGACACCGCCAATGCTCCTCAAAGTGTGTGCACGGAACGTTATACATACAGGCATGCACGTGCTGGAGTCTCGTAGTGAACTGACCCGGGAAACGTAGCACATCACGGGTGTGCGATGCATTCATACATACATGGTACATACATTCGTGATGCATGTATGTGAACATTTTAATCCTGCTCAACCTGGAGTTTTCTGTATTTATTTTGGCCATGAACCAATCACTTCTTTTCATCTCTCCTTCCCCCTCCCTGTTCTTATTGATATTTTTGAGTCTTAGGAATACATTTTGAGAATTTCTCATTGTTTGATTCAAAGGTTTCTTCAAGTTTCGCTGGTCTTAGTTTCCGCTGCGTTGAATTAACTGAACATCTAGTGCTGTCACAGGGTTACAATTCCGTATCAGTGGCAGCAGCAGTGTCTTACTGTGTAAACATACAAAACGCCAATAAGGCCTCCATTTAGACCTACATTAACTAAAGCAGCTGTGTTACTATGCGTGTGGCACTTTGCTCTAAGAATAACGAAAATGCCAGCCTGAGCATGCTTCAACACAGTTCAAAGCCAGGGTCAGCAAAGTGGTGGAAAAAAGTAAGGTACTCAATCATACGGATATTTAATTGTCTGAGGTTTTAATACCAGTTATAAAGAAGGGAAAAAAAATTCCTTATTTAACATTCTATTAGAGATTGGTTTTTCCATGGAAAATAACATTCCTGAAATAGTCTAGAAATCTTAGACAGCTGAAGATAGTGGTTTTCAAAAAAGGAAGGCTCATTTCTTTTCCAAGTTTAGTCAAACTAATACTTCATAAAGTTCTTAAACTAGACATTATCAAATAAAAATGTATTCATCTGAAATGTAGAGTCTATTGAAAGGACTGAAAAATAAGATTAAAAAAAAAGTTCCAAAGGAGAGAGATAAATATGTAACTTTTATCCAATAATCTACAGGGCCCAACTCAAAAGAAACTTTTTTTTGGGAGGTTGTTTTCCCTTCCGGTGCATGTGCTTGCTGGAAAGAAGAGACAGAGAGACAGAGACAGCAAGAGGGGAAGTGAGAAATCAGCCCCCAGGGGGATGGCCATGCTGCAAACCCTTCTGTTCCATTCTCCTCCCAGGATCTTGGGCATGCATGCACAAGCACAGGCATGATTTTCAAGCCACCAGGTCCAGGACTTGAACCATGGCTGGCCATGTGATAGTCCAGTAATGTAACCGTTATGCCATCTGCTGGCTCCAGAGCAAAGGTATTTTGAAAGAAATGACTTGGGGAGAAAAAAACTGTTGACATTAGCTTTTTAGATGTCACAGGTGGACATCTAGGTATCTATCTGTGCCATGAAACAGAAAAGGAAAACGACATGTATACCGCCACACAGAAAATTTTGTGAAATTAGTACTCAGCATTACAAAGGGTACAAAGGGGGATGGGAACATATTCCTTATGCTTTTGTGGGATCTGTGTTCTGGAAAAAAAAAAACAAAAACAAAAAACACGCATGCTTCAGAGCCAGGAGGCCGCTGGAGCAATGAGTATCGGTGGTGTCAGTACATATAAAGACGATGACGATGGCATGCGAGGGGACAGAAGTCCCCAAACGTGTGCTTAGTGCCAAGCCTACAGCATTTTCAGAGCTGGCCAGACCCTGGAGAACAGCCACTGGACACCCAAGGTGCTTACTTACTATTCAGCTCCTCCCCCTCATCACTGGAATAGGAAGAGCCAAGAGAAAAGAGAGTTTTAGACTTAAGGAGGAGTGGTGAGATGCTGATGGAGAAGGAGATCCGCCGGGCTGGACGCATCTGCTGCGGGGCTGAGAAGTGGGTTAACAGAACACGTTAAGAGCACGCACAGAACACGCCAGGGCCGACTCAAGGCACCCCAACCCCTGTGGGAACAGAATGATACTGTGGGCCTGTCTGGTTTCAGGAAAGGCTGCCGAGGTGGACAGTGGCGTTTATTTACCCGTTCATTTTTATTTCCAAGTGTGCAGAATTCTAATGCCGTTTTTAAGAATCATGCAACAAATCAGTCCTGTTTAGATTATGAAAATAGTATCTTTAACGGTCACAAGTCATCGCTGGAGTTACCTTCTTTAAAAGTCCACTGAACACGTCTGGTAGTGGAGCTCCTCGGGACTGGGGATTTGGCTCTGTTCTCTCAGCCAGCATCTCCTAATGCACAACCACACACACAGATGTGGTGCCCTGCCTCCACCTCGTCCTCTGGCCAGATCTCACCTCTGAGCTCGAGACGCACGCCTCCCTGCTCAGCTGTGGGTGATAACTCCACAGCACTGACGCTCAACAAGCACCTCGGGTAACCGACCGCAGTTCCGCTCCTTTCTACCTTCTCCTCCTCCCGCAGTCCTCTGAGCAGTGAGGGGTGCCTAACTTCTAACTCACTGCTCCCATCAGGAACCTGGGCACCATCCCTGACTCCCTATGTGAGTCACACCTCAGGCCTCCTGACTCTGCCCTCTAGATCTCCCCAAGCCCCAACTCCTCCCTTCCTGCCACCGCTCCATGCCTTGGCTCAGGACACCATCTGCTGTCACGTGAACCCTGAAAGTGGGCGGACACGCTGAAGAGTGCTTTGCGTGGGGCGGGGGAGCCTCTCCTTCCCAACGCAGTTTTCAGTGTGGCTGGCCTGAATGCTTTAATCAATTAATCAATCAATGTAATCAGCTTAAATGACTCTATTACCTTTGGGCCAAAAAGCCAACTTCCTTGGTTTCGCTTTCAACATAATAATTCACTCAGCTAAATACTTCCTAGTTTCCTGTCCTGAAGGCAGGAAGCCCTCTCTCCTGAGGGTCTGGGGACCGACTCCCCAACTGATACTGGGGGACTGCCACAGTCCGAGAGTGCGTGTGTGTGTCTGTAGATAATAAAGACATAATGAATATGCATGTGTTCCAGCACTGCACTGTTGTAATGCTGAGAAAACATACATATGTAAGTTCTCACCTTGCTCTCCAAAGAGAGAGAGAATAAGCAAACAAAATGGAAAATATCCCCATCAGGATTGATGCCTATCATTCAAGAGGCCCACCCAGACCTTGGGTCACAGAGATCATTTATCTTTTCAGATCTGGTAGACATTATATATAAATGCCACAGCTCAGCTCCCCAGACAGACTTGCTTCCGCAGTATACTGCAAGCTACGCAGTCACAAACCGGCCCGCCCATCAAAACATGCACAGGCAACTTGGCAAACTCACACGCCACAGGCGAGGGTATAAGAGCGACCCTTTTCTTGTGAGAGTAAGTCATGACATGTGAAGGGGGAAATGACATCTCCTTATGAAGCATATGAGGAGGGGTACAAGTCCTCTCAAGGTTAACGAGCTCACCACTGTTGAAATATCCCATGGGTGGGAGAAAGGGACACATTGAAAATGTATGTCCTGGAACGAGATCACCTGTCCTAACTGGATTAGTCTGTATATAGGAGAACAAAGTTTATTTTTCTATCACTGGAGTTTCCCAGCATGCTGGGGAAAAAATGAACACTGGTACTGCTCTGATCACTATGAACTATGGCTCTCCATAACAGTAAGAAATGCTTATTAAACAGAGCCAACAGATGGTGTGGTAGTTAAGGGTGCTGGACTCCCACATGACCGACCATGGTTCAAGTCCCGGACCTGGAGGCTTGCTTTTTCAGTTTCATCTTCTCTCTCTCTCTCTCTGTCTCTCTCTCTCTCTCTGTGTGTGTGTGTGTGTGTGTGTGTGTGTGTGTCCTCTCTATCCCTATCTGGTCAAATTAAAATAAATAAAGTTAAAGTAATTCTTAAAAAATGTTTACTAAATGACAGGAACTATGTTAGGGAGTTTATCCTCACCATTTAACAGCTGCAGTAACTGAGGCCATGAGTTTGAGTAACAAGCTCAAGGTCTCAGAGCCACCAAGTGTGCTCACAACCAAACATCGGGTGAAATATTTTAAGTGCACCAAGTACTTAGCCTTTAAAATCACTTTGTAGGTTTTAATTATGACATTTTTCAGCTAGGAAGACTATGACAAAAGCTGCATCATGTGGGATACTTAAGCAATTTAAAATTGTAGATTGGAGCTTGTGGCCAATTGTGAAATATCAAGGCTACCTTGGTGCCTAAAGCACATACCACACACACTGTCACACAAGTTTCAGACTTCTCTTCGACAGTCAGAATTTGAACATCTCCTAAAAGATTTATCTTGTGTCTAGATTAGAATGAGAATTAGAGTTGTGAAATTAATGTAATTGCATATGGGGAGGGACTACAGAGAAACTGTGACATTAAAGTTGATTAGCCCCTCCAAATGTGTATATACCTGAAGTGGAATACAGTGGGGAGGCCATCATCTTTTGATGAGGGGATTAAACTCTTGCTTTAAGCTCTTTTTTTTTAAATTTTGCTAGAGGGCACATGCACTCAACAGAGAGAGAAAGTAAGAAAGCAACCTCCGAGGGGATGGTCACATTACACACCCTTCTCCATTCTCTTTGCAGGATTTTGGAAGGGTGGACACACACATACATGTGCCCAACATGTTTTTCAAGCCATTGGGTCCAGGACTCAAACTGCGCATTGGCCCTGTGGGACCCAGGCTCCTCAAACACTACGCCACAGACTGGCCCTAAAACTCTACTCTGAACAGCTGTTTACTACTAATTTCAGGTCCTTTCAGAGAGCTGAGCAGAAAACTTCCCAGCAACAGAAGGAAAGTCCAGTGTGCTCAAGCTCTAGGGCAGTGCTTTCTGGGAGTAGTTGCATTATTTATAGTGTTTGGATAGCAAATAAAGACACAGCCGAAAAACCATCTTGCTTTTTGGAGGAAAAACAATGAAGTGCTGCATCCATAAGGAAAAAGTGTGTGTCACATAATATAAGAAAAGACCTCTCTATGGGATACGGTCAGCTGGTGTGGGGTTGTCTGTTGCTATAGGAGTGGAATATCCACTAGGCCACAGCACTGGCCAGTCACGGAAGGAGGTGAGAACGCTGAGACGGCACGTTCAGAGTGCCTTCCTTGTTACTGAGCTCTATTTTCAATGTATTCTGTTTTCTACTTTCTTGGCTACCAAGCTCTGGCTCATCACATTCACTATGGATTATTTACTAATAGTTATAACTTCCATTCTATACCAGCAAAACCTCTAACCCAAAGTCAAGACAAAACAATACCCAAACAAACAAACAAACCAGGAAACGCCTTTCTGTCGTAGCTCAGTGAGGTTACGTCTGTGTCTCTGAGAATCATTAAGATTCTCTGGTCAAACAGGCAGATTCACATTTGAATTGGTTACCCGATGAAAATTAGGACAAAGTTAAGAGAGTCATCCATTGTGCCTTAGTTCCACTGTGGAGATAAAAATGATGGGTGTCCAGTAAGTTATGAAGTTAGAGCATTCCATTAGTGCAGGGCAACTACTACTGTAACTCTTTGAGGTTGAGTTTTATCAGGGGACACTGAAAGAACACCAAAAACACCAGGAGAGTATACTTATTCCTTTTGCTTCAGCCTCCTGAATACATGGTCTTTCATCAAAGAATGTATCACACCCTCCTTGACAAGAATTTAATCTCATATTACTGGCTCGTCTGAAAAGGCATGATGCATTTTTGCATAGAAAAACAGAGAAAAATATGCATGATTTTTCCGATGAGCCTATACAATTACTCACTTAAAAAACTTAGTACTTTAAAAAGAAAACCAAAGGGCCAGCAGATGGCATAGCAGTTATATCACTGGACTCACACATGGCTGGCCAACTGAGGTTTAAATCCCTAACCCAATGGCTTGAAAATCAAGTCTGTCTGTCTCTCTCTCACCCTAGCGCAAAAAAAAAAAAAAAAAAACTCTAAAAAAAAAAATAAAACCAAAATATGGGTATTTCAGAAGAAGTTGCTTCTCTGAGCAAACATTTATCCAATTCAAATAAATCCTGAGCACCTTTTACTTGCTAACCCCATGTGTACACAGATGTCACCTCACCTCTATCTAACGTTTATAGCCAATTATCTGAATTTCCATATGGTTCTACGAGTCACTTTTACATGTAACCTTAAGGCAGTTGCTTAACTAAAAATGTATCTCAGGCTTTCTTTGTCCTTTGCAATCTTGATTTTTTTTTAATTGCCAGAAAAGTGGGTACACTCACCAGAGACATGGGGTGGAGGAAGGGTGAGTTTGAAGGAAGAAAGCAACCCCCAGTGGGGCATGATACCACAAACCATTCTCCATCCCATTGGGACACTGAACATACACACATGCCTGGCAAGTTTCTCAAGCCGCCAGAGTTGGGATTTTAGCAGTGGCTGATCATGTGGGATCCAGCTCCCTTAACTGCTAGGTTACAGAGCCAGCCCAAGCTTCACATTTTTGAAGAGCTCAGGGCAGTTACTTTGATAGGTTTCTTCACTGTTAAGTTCATAAAAGACAAAGATCAACTAAGGAACACTTTTAGACTAAAGAAGACTAAAGAGACCTGACAATTTAATTCAATGTGCATTCCCAGTTTGGTTCTTGGACTCAGAAGTGGCTGGAAAAAAATTATAATCTGAAAAACCTGTATTATTAGGTTTCTGTATACTAGAAAACACAATTTTACTGGTATTAATTTTTTTACTTGGGCAACTGAACTATGAGAATATGAGAATATCTTTGTTTCTAGGAAACATGTACCATATTATTTAGTGGCAAAGGAATATTATGTAACATACTCTAAGATTTCAGGAAAAAACTTTTAGGAGAGTGATAGACTGACAAAATAAGTATGGGAACATGATGTGAAAAATGTATGGGTTTTTGGGTATTATTTTGGCAATTTTAATTTTCCTAGTGAGGGTTATCTAAAATTATTTTTTGAGTATGAAACTATTTCAAAACAGTATTTTTAAAAAAGATGTGCCAGGCTTGTGCTCAAGAATACAATAAATTTAATGTATTCAGAAGATTTTTAAGCAGCAAAAGGAAAAAGATCTCAAATCTAAATTCTGTGTCACCTTTTCTCTTTTAAGTGCTGAGCCATTTATGGAACCTGAAGCAAATGGTTTCAGAAGGAACAGACAGATTTTTAAAGGTGATGCTATAGGGTTCACAGTGAGAAAAGTGGTAGGAAAAGTGGTTAAGTTGTAACATACTTAATTTTTTTTTTAGAAGTAGTATACTCACGGTCCAGTGCAGGATGGCTGATTGTCATTAATGAGATGGATTTGGTCAATGGAGAAGAAATGGCTGATGTACAATAATTAAATCCCTGTTGCTTAGATCTGTGACATGTCTGTGAAGGAAAAAGTGGAGAACAGACTCTCAGTGCATGCCCTCATTACTAACAAGCACAAAACTTCATATGACACCACCACGCAGTGGAATAAGGCAGTGTACAAGGGCTCTGTAGTCAAGTGGACCTGGAGGATCCAGGTCTGCAACCCAACTTCGGAGAAGTTACATAGCTTCCCTGAATGTTTTCTAAACTGCAGGGGATAATTAGAGTATGTATTGTTTATAGGGGCTTTCTATTTCTCAAACCATCTGATGACATTCCAAACTCAGTAAAGCTTAATAAACATCTGCTGAATGTAGAATCACATAAAAATGATTTCACGTGAAATATCAAACTACATATAGCACTTGCTTTTTGAAAATCTAAACATCTTGAGGCCAGACAGTGGTGGAGAAGAAAAATGCAAAACTGTGTGGCTGATTCACACAGCAAGGTATTGAATTCTTGTCTTGAGGTTGTCCCCAGTTATGTCTGGCCATGAATGTGCCCATTCTAATAAACTTTAAATGACAAAGAGGAAGAAGAATCATTAAATATTCCTTATGGAAATCCAGTAGCATATACGCAATTTTACTCTGATTTGAAAGAGCTGGAAACTGAGATCTAAGTAAAAAGTGTTTTAAGATCACAAGCCAACAGCAGTGGACCTGGGAAGAAGTCTTAATTTCTTTCATTTCCTTTTTTAAGATTAGAGTGATTATTACGTGAATGTAAGAATGATCAAAACTTGATTATTCAACTCCCTCAGTAAATTCATAGCAGCTTCAAGGCCATGTAAACCCACCCAACTGCAGAAATTCCTTGTATTAATTCAATATCCCTGAAAGATCAACCAGTGTTTACTGGCAACGAGAGGTTCCTCCCATTTGGCTTCTAGAGCTCATTCTAATTGGTAACTAACTTTAATTATCACTAATCCCTTCCCTTCATGGTAGGATGAAATGTGCCACCGTATGACTCACACATGTGGAAAGGAAAGCAATGAAAAGTCATTAGTAGGACGAACTCCACTCAATTGGACCATAGACTTCTGATTATTTAGAGCTTGTTGCATGTGTAACCATGGAACCTGAGGCAAACGGTTGCTATGTTTCAAATACAACTAGGAGGTCTGAAAAATGACCTCAGAGTGAAAGGCACAGACTTCAACAGGAAGTTGGCTGCAGGCAACTTGTCTGGATCCCAGAGATACCCTGAGCAGCTCAAATATCCACGCTGAAATAACACCCAAGACGAAAAACGACAGGTGAGCAGAGCTCCAGGAAAGCTATGCACAGTAAGGTATTACAATGTCAACAACTTTATCTAGAAAGACATCAACAGTAATTCACATTGCTTACGAAAAGATAGTCATCTGTCAAATTCCTGGAAATATCAGTCTCAGAAAAGGTATTATATAAACAGTAATGAGAAAATTAAACTATGTCGTGTCCTCATTGAAAATCACCTACTTCAAAGACATGGAAAGGAGCAGACATGGATTAAGAAAAAGAATTCTAACTCTACTACTGTTAAGCTAACAGCCATTTCTGGGGCCTTCGGTACGTCATTTAAATGGGCCGGAGGTTCTCACACCAAAGGGCTCAAGCTGCATCTGAAGAGATACAGGTTCTAAGTCTATGCTTCTGTTCATAAACCCACAACTGTGACATTTTATCTGGTCTTGCAGATGACTTCCAAAGGAAAGATTTTATATACTTATAATGTAATTCATTTTACAGATTTTCCACTGGTTTATTTACTCATATCACACCTGTGGTTCAGTGGAATTGTTCTTATTTTCCCTTTCCTTTTTCTGTTGCCACTGCATTGAATAATCTAAATTACTTGTTTCAATAAGCATATTCTCCACATTTTTATCTTTTTCTAAATGTTTCTAAAATATTGAGGCAAAGAAAAATGAAAAGAAAAAAAATTCTTTTAGACTTTCAATTTGATTTTCATTTGGCCTACATTCTCTTTATTTATCAGGTTTTATATGAATGATACATTCATTCTAAGGTAAGCCCACAAGGTCAAATCTATATATGGTTATGTCACTGCTATACAGTATATGCAATGAAGACTTAAATTTCTACATAAAACCCCAGTTATCAAGGCAAAGAACAGGCTGTCAACATTTCTGTTTAATTAAAAATGTTACAATCAGATTTCTACCCAAAACCCTTGTCACCGATTCCAACTGTTTTATTTTTGTGTGTAATTACAAATACTTCATTTGGAAGAACACGTATGTCAGAATTCTTTTAGAAATTAATCTGACATCTCCTGGCCCATGAGGAAGGAAAAGGACTGAGGGTAAGGTAGGCTGTTAAAGGCAAATTAATTGAAATTCTCAACTCATATAAACTGTGCAAGAGATTGATGAATGTGATAGATGATAATGAGGGACCTGAGAAGATGAGGACTATGAATAAAGTCACTTGACTTGACAGACAAAAAAGTCCAGCCAGGTGGCATGGTGGTAAGGTGGCTGGACTTCACATGGGTGACTGTGAGGTTCAAGTGCCAGACACAATGGTTGAAAAACACTGTGTGCACCTGTGCACGTGTGCCCAAAATCCAGAAAGGAGAATGGATGAGAAGGGATTGCAGTGGGACCTCCCCTCTGGGTGCTTTCTCACTTTCCCTCACTCTTTCTCTCTCTAGTGATCACAAGAGCCTTCTAGCAATTTAAAAAAAAAAAAAAAAAGAAAGAAAGAAAGAAAAAGAAAAGCAAAAAGAAATCCAACACCTCCAAGTCAGGGGTTTTAAGAGGGTGGCAGCAGTGGAAATTAGAGACAATTTTGTGACAAGAAAAAGAAGGCAGGGAATGTGGGTGCTCTTGCAAGAACTCTAATAGGGATAGGAAGCAGAATGAACTGTTATTCCTGAACAATGTGACAAGATAAAGTATTCTTATCTAGGAAGAAGACACTTGGAATATATTTTTGAGAATTGAGAATTTAATAATGATATGTAGTGCACTTTGGGGTTCATTTTACTTTTGAAATGGTAAAACAAGGCCTCAAGGGGCCAGCAGGAGGCATGGTGCTTAAGGTTCTGGACTTACACATGGCTGAGTGTGGTTTGAGTACTAACCCGTGGCCTGAAAATCACACCAGAAACGTGTTTGTGTGTGTGTGCCCAAAATCCTGAGGTGAGAATGAAGGAGAAGGGATGTGGCATGATCATTCCCCTAAGGGGTGATTTTGGACTGATTGACTCACTCACTCACTCTCTCTCTCTCTCTTTCTCTTTCTCTCTCTCTCTCTCTGGTGAGTGCACATGCCCTATGCAAAAACCTTTTAAAAAATGTAAAGAATAAAAAGAATGTCTCAGATAGAAGGCAAACTCATTTTAATATTCCAGGTGACTAAGGTTTGGGGAAGAAATCAAATTGCAACATTTCTTTTTTATTTTAAGGTTTTTGCCATAGAGCGCATATGTTCGCTGGAGAAAAAACAGAGAGGGAAGATGAAAAATCATCCCCAGGGGGTGGCCACACCGTAATCCCTTCTCCTCCATTCTCCTCCTGGGGTTTTGGGCATGCATGCACATGTACCTAGCGTTTATTTCAAGCCACCAGATCCAATATCAAACTGTGACAAGTCCACTGCCTTAACCAACACACCACCTGCTGGCACGGCAAGATTTGTAATTAACAGTAATGCTGACAGCCTACTCTTTCACTTGGTGACTGGGGTTTTGTGTAGAAATTTATTTCTTCATTGCACATGCTACATGGCAATGACATGATCAAATATAAATATTTTCTTCATTTTAAAAAGTCTGCTTTAGGACCAGCAGTTAGCGTAATGGTTATGTCGCTGAACTCCCATGTAGTCGACCATGGCTCGAGTCCCAGACCCGGTGGCTTAAACTCACCCCGGGCGCGTGTGCGTGCATGTCCAAGATCCCAAGAGGAGAATGGAGGAGAAGAGACTGCAGCGTAGCCATCCCCCCTCGGGGGTGATTTCTTGCTTTCTATCTCTCTGTCTCTCTCTGTCTTTCTGGCAAGCATGTGCGCCCTATAGCAAAAACCTCTCCAAAAAAAAGGAGGAAAAAAATAGCCTGCTTTGATGCAATATTTCAATCTAAGAAAATGAATAGTATTCTTTAATTAACATTAAGTGCTACAAACTTGCTTTAGTGCCAGAGTGAGTGTATCCTACAGTAAGTACGGAATCGCAGTGAACAGCCTTACACTAACAGAAGTATCTCCTTCTCTCTTCCTAATATGCTCCTTGTATTCTGAAAGAAACGTGTCGCCCCCGCCTCCCCACCAAATTAACAATGTATACTTATTTCAGGCTTACCTGCTGATCAAACATCCTATGTTCTCGCTGGCCTGATTCCAGATCCTCTTCTGAGAGTGACATCAAAGAGTCCCCTCGTTCCTCACCACTGAAAGGGTGCCTGAGCTCTTTGGTGTTGGCAGGACTGACTCCTAGGGATGAGGATGCCTTGTTCCCGACACCATCTCCTCCTGTCAGACCTTCTAGACTGTAACTGAACACAGAACACAAGTTAATTCATTCTACCTGTGAGTCTCAAGAAGGAAAGAAGACACAAACCTGTTTTAGCTATCTCTCTCTGGCCTGTACATTTTTTGTACAGAACTGTCTGCAGGGACACAGCACAAAGGACTACCGCCTACTTTTCCCTCAGAGGTCTCAGAAAACTGAGAAAAAAGTACTCAACTTAGAATTCTTCCCTCATTCAACTTTATCCAAATATTGAACAAGATAAGATGATTTTCGTAGTTTTTTTTTTTTTTTAAATAGGCCACATGGGCAGACCACATGCATTTTATTGATCTTTTACATCTGTTTTTCCTTGATCTGATATAATTAATCTTTGCTAGAAATGAACTCTGCTAATGCCACATAATTAAATGTTGAAAAAATATAAGTCACTTCAGAAGGCAATGGTCAGGGACCAGCAGTTAGCGTAATGGCTATGTTGCTCAACTCCCATGTAGTCGACCGCAGTTCAAGTCCTGGACCCAGTGGCTTAAACTTACGCCAGGCGCATGTGCGTGCATGCCCAAGCTCCCAAGAGGAAAATGGATTGCGGCATGGCCATCCCCCCTGGGGGGGGATTTCTTGCTTTCTGTCTCTCTGTCTCTCTCTGTCTTTCTGGCGAGTGCACGCACCCTGTAGAAAAAACTCTCAACAATAAATAAATAAATCAATAAATAAAATGAAGGCGGCAATGGTCAGTTTGTGCTTGCGCCCGTGAAGTGGACCTTTATAACATTACACTCAACTGTCTCCTGTTGACCTTTATAACTACACAGGTGTGCTTCCATCCCAGAAAAACCGAGTGCTACTTGTAAGATCCTCTGGCTGGACAAGAACAGGCTTTCAGACAACTGTTAGTTGCAGACAGAAACACACAACATCTTAAACAACAAATGCTAAAAAGCTACTAAATCCAAGAGCTTAAAATTTTTGTGTTGGTGTTGGTAACAAAAATATATATACATATATAAAAACAAGAGACACCAACAGGGTTTGGTGTCTTAAATGGTCTCCCTTGGATAAAGATTTTGTGGTTTGCGAAGTGAAAAGCATTTTCTGTAAGCAAGAGGGCTACAGAAAAAGGTCAGTGATCTCACTAGGTCATTTACATCTATTGGGTCGCTGGGAAAGTCAGGACACTTTTCTGCACAGGAAAACATGGAAAAACACGTCAGGACTTTCCCCAACGACCCAATACTTGCAGTAATTAATTAGAAAACTCACACCTGTTAAAACTACGGTGGAAACATCTTTAACAGAAGCACAATTTCAAAACAGAGTTGTGGCTGAGCCTGTCCTCAGTTAATCGCCAGCTGGAATTGTACACTCTAGCTATTTGGTTACCTCTAGGTGGGAAATTAAACTACCAGTACAGTCATACGTGCCAGGCCAGAGGGCTTATATTGGCTCTTTTTTGGGGGTAAATTATTTATGAATTAAAGCCAGATGTCTCTATTTTCTCTACTGGGTAAATTAAACAATAGATATGTTTTTGTTATTTAATACAATATAAATCATAGCTAGCAGTAATTATTTAAGAAAGGGGTCTAAGTGAAGAAGAAATTTGGTTTCTATTGTGAATTACTGGAAAAGCCCGAGAAAGCCAGATCCATGCTTCCCATGAAACTTAATCCCAAAAATATTTCAGTAATTAAATCTGGCTGCTTACTTGAAGAAAAAAAATGAAACAATTAGGAGACTCTGAATTTGGAAGCTAGAGAGACTGTGGGTTTGGAAGCATACTAGAAAGCAGTACGTATTATTATTATTTGCTGCCTTACTTCTCTCGTTGTCTTCCTCAGGACCTGGGAATTAGGACAGACCAACACAGAGAGAAGCGGTCTACCAGAGCACGGAGACAAGTCTGTGCAGGAAACACCAAACCGACACAGCCACTTGGGACAAGCAGGGTGCATCGGGGCCCGCCATCCAACTCCAGGCTGCGCCCCTTGCCCTGGTTAGTGACGCCCATAGCGGAGGTAACGGAACACAAAGCAGGCTGCCCAGATGCATTCCAGCCACATGGAAGCCAGCTCCGAGCCACGGCCAAGGTGCCACAGGTGGCTGGACGTGTCACGGTACCATACCTTCGGTAATTAAAGTCAGCACTCCGGGCAGCAGGGTACTGCACACCAGAGGGACACCAGCTCATACTGGGGACGACATCGAAGGCAGAAACACAAGTGGAGGGAGAGAAGAGGAAACAGGGACGGGGTTACTAGGTTTCAAGAGAGGACACGGTTAGAGACAGATGGGCTTATTTTAACCCCAGAAAATTTAGGAATGTAACACTGAGAATTTAGAAAAAGGCTAGAAGCAGCGGCATGGAAACTTTCAACGGTTCTACGAGTGTCCCCATGAATCATGTTTTGGAAAAGACAAGGTGGGCTTTTCTCAGGATAGCCAGTCAAAACTGAGAGCAAAAATTGTTTCTAGGGAACCCTTGGCACAGAGGCCTCTCGGGGACGGTCTCTCCACACACCCCCACTCCCACATCGCTCTTACACCGTCAGTCTACCCAGACGGCAAGGATCAATGGCAATCTGCACTGGGTATGCTCACCGCACCGTCTTTTTTTTTTTTTTTTTTGGCTTGTATTTCCATAAAAAAATCCATCTAAACCAGAAAACTCACAGGTCTTATGTGAAAAGGTCCCCAGACAATTCTCACATTCATCCTCAATCCCTACTCACTAGACCCTCATGTTAAAGATATAAGGCTTTTAACGACGGTTACTGTTCCTTGTGTTTCAATGACGGTGAGTTTTATGGTACCGAATTAGAAATGTGTTTTAATTTCAGAATCACCTTCCCCCCAAGCTAAAGATCAATCCATTTGACTATCTACTTCCTCAGTTATGCCAATACTGGCATCTATTCTTAGACAACTGGGAGAGGAACCACCTGCTAGGGCAATGGCCACGCCACAATTTCTTTTCCTTCATTCTCCTCTCCCTCTAATCCTAACGAACTGTAATTGGCTAAAAAATAACCTCTTCAACATATAAGGTACTCCAGGAGGTAAATGCACCAACAGGTCAAGATTTTTGATTAATAAAAGCTATCATTAAAAAACAAAATACACTATTTGGACCCCAGAGTTCTAAGTGATGTTTTGTTTTCAGAGTAAAAGCAGAGATCCTAGGTAACAGTAAAACCACTCAGTTACCTCCTGAATCTTGCAAATGGGAAGGCCTGCAAACCCTACAACAGGCCTATCTTGACTGTATCTAAAAACACTCCTTTGTGGTCACATAGAGATTATTAAAGGAAAAGTCAAGAAAAATGATAGGAGGATGTAAGAGCTACCACTAGGTGTCTTCTAAAAGCAAATCTTTAAAATATAATTTAGGTTGCATAAAACCTGTTAAATCAGATTAAATTCACAGCATAAAGCTTACAAATGCAAAAGCAGAAATACACAGCTGAGACACGACTCTAGTCTGGTAAGCAGGATCAAAAAGACACATTTATATGCATACGTAAAAGTAAAATGTATTTTACACATGCACACATGACTTGGAAGTCCCTTCTTTGAAATTATTAACGTATAACTCTCCAAACTGTTAATACATAGGCATATTATACCTAAACATCCAGTTTTTAAATTAAAAACAAAATGTGGAGGGGCCAGCAGGTGGTGTGATGATTAAGGTGCTAGACTCCCACAGGTTTGAGTCCCAAACTTGGTGGCTTGCTTTCCTACTCTCTCTCTCTAGTGCATGCACGCGCGCGCGTGTATGTGCTCTATGGCAAATTAAAGCAATAAATAAAATAAAGAAAATAATTATTTTTAATAAAAACAAACAGAATGTGACACATCAATAATTAAATACACAGTGCCAAACTGTCATTTAACAAAACAATCTCCTCTGGCCTGGCTACAGTGGCGTGCAAGAGACAATGGTGCTGCTTGGTAGAGGGGGTCACATGGGAGGCCATGGCTCAGTACCCAGCCCAGCCTAAACAGCCCAGGTGTGGGGGCCTGCTCAGATAGCCCTAGCTAAGAAAGAGGCAGGGACAGGAGCATGACAGGTGTCTGGTCAAAAACATCTCAATATCATTGGGACCAGCAGTTAGCGTAATGGCTATGTCGCTGGACTCCCACATAGTCGACCGTAGTTCACGTCCCAGACCCGGTGGCTTAAACTCACGCCGGGCGCATGTGCGTGCGTGCCCAAGATCCTGAGAGAAGAATGGAGGAGAAAGGATCGCGGCATGGCCATCCCCCTGGGAGGTAATTTCTTGCTTTCTGTCTCTCTCTTGTCTTTCTGGCGAGTGCACACACCCTATAGTAAGAAAAAAAAAAAAAAAAAAAAAGATTTATAAAAAATAAATAAAGAAAAACATCTCTATGTCATTAAAACAAAAACAAACTCCTTAAAACTGAAACACTCATCTTACTATCAAGTATATGACAATGAAGTCAACAACTAGATATAATTTAAGATAAATAGAAAGAAGAGAAACCTTGAGACAGATAGAGTAGGAATTTTAGTTTTTGTCTTATTGCTTTCCTAGGATCCAGGAAAGAAGCTGCAGCTGGTATACCATGTCTCCACCCTTCCTATGGTCAGAGCATTTTTGAGACCCTCATTTCATCAAACCCTCAATAGTGGGGGAACTATTTAATAGTTCTGCCATTTTATTTTGAGATTTAGGAAGTTTGACATGTATTACAAAACAAATCTTCTCCCCTTCACCTTCTAATGTTTATTGACATGTTCTAATTTTATACAACTCCACCTTATATACACATCATGGTTTTCCTACAACAGTAAGTATTAGCAAGGTGAAACTGTGAGGTCAAGTGGTTGCTGACAGTTACACCCCTGTGCTAACCTGGACTGCATCCACCGACTAGTGATCTTGGCCCCTGTCAAGTGCACATTTCTAGAAGTCTGTATCACAAAGTTTTAATAAAGTCAGACAAATACCCTCCAAAGGGTTTAGATGCAGTCTACTGACACAGACATGAACAGCCGGCTCCCCTGAGGAGCAAGTTAACTCGTGGGATGACTATCTGAAACTCATGGGAATATTTGAATTTAAGTTAAATTTCTGGCCTAAAATCTAAAATTAGAGGCAGCGTCCACCAGAAAAAGGGAAAGTAGGAAACATTACAATTTGCCTGCCTCCCAAGAAATTGGCTTAGCTTGGTTTAACGAACAAACAAAAAGATTTGGGGACAGGCAGATGGCAGAGAGAAAGGATCGTCACGGACTCTCACATACTAGACCGCAGTCTGAGTCCTGGACCTGGCGTCTGGAAACTCATGTTGGGCGTGTGTGCGTGCATGCCCAAAATTGCGAGAGGGGAGTAGAGAAGGGACTACGGTGTGGCCCTCATTCCTGGGGGGTGATTTCTCACTGTCTCTCCGTCTCTGTCCCTCTGGCGAGTGCAACTCCCTATAGCAAAAATCTCTTAACAAAAAGATTTAAAAATCTCTCTTAATCTGAGAAGCTAACAGTAATATAACCATACTTTTTAGATTTCTAAATGTTTTATCCAAAATATGGCACAATAGGTCAGATAATTCAGACTTATGAACAATGAAAATCAAACAAAATCAGCATTTGGAAAACCTGAGGCAAATCAGCACTTTGTGATGAGAAATTATTTCTCAGGTTATAAATGACCTATTTTAACTATGAAATTTTACCAGAGAATAATAATTATAAAATTAAAAGATGGCTTCTTAATAGAATGAAACCACCGGGTGGCACAGCAATAAACTCTTCCTTCCCATTATTAAAGTATATGCTGCAGGACCAGCAGATGGTGTAATGGTAAGGTTGCTGGACTTCCACATAATCAACCATGGTTCGAGTCTCGGACCTGGCAGCTTAAAACTCACACCAGATTTGTGTGTATGTGCCCAAAATCCCAAGAGGAGAAGGAATTGCAGCATGCCCATCCCCACGGGGTGTGTGTGTGTGTGTGAATTCTCGCTTCCTGTCTTTCTCTCCAGAATGCACATGCCCTATAGCAAAAATCTCTTTAAATAAATAAGCAAACTAACAAATGAATAAATAAAGTGTTGAAAATATCTTCAGACCTGTGAATGAACACACTGTATTTCTGGTTCTTTTTTGGAAAGTAAAAGAACTTCCCTGGGTCTATGAGGTAGGCACAACACAGACAATTCTTTGAACTCCTCTTGAGAAAACTGAGCAAGACCCTAATATGAGTTATCTGAGCACAAGTAAGTACAAAATGAAAACAATTTTTTTCTTTAAATTTATGGATAACAGAATGGAGAAAAGCTTTAGATTAAATAAACCATTTCATATGGAGTAGACATGGGCAATTAATAACTACCTATATTTTATCTGCCAGAATTATACGTGACATAATTTTTAAGAAGACTGTCTAAGCAGGGTTAATTAAGCAGGAGATGTTTGTTAGTATATGCTCAGAGGCAACAGGGTTAGTCCATCGAGGTAGTGAACTCTGTACCTTCTCCTATGAATGGGAGGTCTCCTGACAACATCCCCAAGAACTCGCAATGAACTGAAAATGAATGGTGCAAGAGGTCAGTGTTGCAGGTGACACAAAATGAAATACAAATGCATGAAACATACAGACACCACACTGGGAAGAGAGATGGTCCTCAAACAGAAACAGCACAGAAAGTAAGAGAAATTAAAGAATGGGTGGAATGAGAACAACATCAGAGCCAAAAAGGCCTGACAAATTCTACTGGGCTTCCTCTTTGCTTTAAGGAGTCACTCAGATGATAAATTATGAAACTTGTTAAATTCTTAAAGTAAAATGAACAGAAAATAAAATTGCCATTCAAAGCCCTAAAAGGATTTTCTTAAGAATTCAAAACTTAGGTTTGCACTGTGTACAGGTCATGCAGTAAGAATTAATCAAGCTGGGCTGGCCGAGAGCACAGGCCAAGCAGTTTGCAGATTCCCACGTGGCTGACCAGGGTTTGAGTTCAGGCCCTAGCACCTTACAGGCCAGGTGTGAATGTGCATTTCCAGGACCATGATGGGATGGAGAACAGAAGGAAAAATGAATTATGTGTAACCACACCCGATTAGGGGTTTCTCTGTCTCTCTCTTGTACATGCATGTACCCTTTGACATAAGAAGGAAAAAAAAAGAATTAATAGAACTAAGTGAAAATTAAAACTTTTCATTTCATTATCTACAGAGGTTATTAGGACAATGGTTCTAGGTAATTTTTAAGAAGTTGAAACAGAAGATCCCATGATATTATACAAGTTAAAAATACAAAAAACTTACATAATAGCTTTCTGGCCTCAGTTCAGTTTTAAGGTCACCATGTGATTCTTGGGCAAATCATTTCATCTAACCTTCGACTTCCTCACCTGAATAACAAGATCCCTACAGCTCTGAAACCAGTCATGACAAAGGGATCCATACTGGGGTAGAAAGAAAATTGAGTGTATATAAAATAAGCCCTCGGTCGTGGATGTTGTTAGCATCTAAAGCAAGAATGTCCTGGCAAGAAGTTATCTTTGCTTCAGGAAGAGAACTCTGGATGTACAAATCATTCCCTATGTCATTATATTTTCATTATATTTTCTGCTGCTGAGAATTTTTATTTTTAAAGGAACATGCACTGGGAAGGAAAAGCATTTACAAATTGCTTTTGATACAATCTAGGAATTTGAAATGTACACAAAAACTGTCTAGCTGATAAAGCACAATGCTTATTTTTACAGTTAGCATCCTCAACTCCGCTAGAGAGTAATACGGACTTGTAGAAGGATTTGACAAAGAGCCAGAAACCTAGATTCTACTGACCCTGGGTAAATAACAGAAACTATCTACACCAGCCTTCTCTTTTGTAAACATGGAGATAAGACCTAAAACTCAAGGAGGACTAAAAACTTATGCGAAGTGATGTGTTGTTGTAAGAGTCTGGGAAGACTAATGATTCAGGATAGAGTGGGGCATTACTGTGAGCTCCAGGAAATCAGGGCCTGGGTCACGTTAAGCTCAGAATCTCCAGAACGTGGAACACTGTCTAGCGTATAGTGCACACTTAATATCTATTGGCTAAATAGGAGAATGCATGAGTGAGTGAATGCAGTTAGATTATGTGTTCTCATAATCTTAGTATTTTTAAGGAGGTTGTGGAATTTTAAATAATAAGCAAATTATCACTTCAGCTGAGTTGTTTACATCAATTGTTTTAAAACAACTGACAGCCTCCTCACCTAGCAGACTCTTCTCATTAAGAAAAAAGCTTTGGGAATAAACATAACCCTGTAAATTACAGGAGGTACCAAGGTACTCTGTCTCCAGAGCTAAAACCACGTGCTTAAACTTATGTAGGTAGCCAGTGCTCAGAAATCAAATCCAACTTACCTGTGTACAGCCTGCTCCCAACCAGGACTAAGACTGGGGCACGCTTACACAGGGGTTTCTGACAAATTTATGAAGCACGCACATTATGAAAAAGCTGTAGGTGGATTTCAAAGCATCTTGTGTACCACAAAAAATCTGCACTTTAATCCCATTTCCTATGAACTTTTTGAAGTGCCTCTGTAAATATCCCCAAGAATATATGTATGACATGTGAGAAAAAACCGTCACGTATGACTGTTTAATGGCATGTAAGAGATTTTATGCCTTCTTGAGGATTAAACATCAATAACAGATTTTATCAACTTCATCAGAAACAGAGGGATTCCAGTTTCTGCAAGCACTCTGAAGAACAGATGTGCTAAGACTGCAAGACTTCATGTTTATTTCTTATTCAAAATTGTCATGAAACTGTTCCCTCCGATATTTTCGAATACATGATCTCATTAATAAATCCAGCAAAAATAAACACTGCCATTTATTAAATACTCACTACCTTACAGTCATACTTTGCTTTACTGTTAGAAATAGTCTGAAAGGTAAGTACATTATAGATGAGAACAACTACAATTCAAAAGGGTTGGTGCTTTGCTCAAAGTCATTTACATATTAATTACAAAAGTGGAGTTTGAACACTGACTCCAAAGCCTCTATTCTTTCTTTTTTTTCTTTCTTTAATGTTTTCTTCTTTGTGTTTGTTCTATTTTTATTTTTGCCATAGGGTGTGTGTGCTTGCCAGAGAGAGAGAGAAAGTGAGAAATCATACCCCAGAGAGGGGATGGCCACACTGCAATCCCTTCTCCTCCATTCTCCTCTTGGGACATTGGGCACACACACATACCCGCCTAGTGATTTTCAAACTGCCAGGTCCAGGACTCCAAGGCCAGTCATGTGGGAATCCTGGGCCTTAACCACCACACCACCTGCTGGCCCAAATAATACGTTTTTAATGTAACATTTTTTTCCTTCTTTTTTTAATAGGTATGTTTTTCTAATGCCAAAGGGTACATGTGCACATGAGAGAAAGAGAGAGGAGAGAGAAAGAGGGAGAAAGCACCCCTTGAAGGGACTCAGTCACTCCACAGGCCTTTTCCCTTCATGTCTCAATACTGACAGGCTCCTTGGCCTGTGCATGCTCACCCAGGACTCGAACCCTGGTTGGCCATATGGGATCAGCTTCTTCTACATAGTGCCTAACTACTGCAGCACAGGGCCAGCCTTATATTCTTTCTAGTCCCACCTTTCCCCTAAAATCTTTTACCGACAAAAATAAACCAGAAACGTCTCGAAAGCAAAGAGACACTGAGACACAAAATGAACAGCCTCCGGTCTCACCTCCGGTGGTTCATCTCCGCATCGCTGGCGGCATTCTTCCCAGGACCCCAGCTGTGCCTTCGGAAAGGGGACAGTGACCGCATAGAGCTCCTCAGGACAGAGCAGTTTGCAGGCACTTCGGTGATGCTGTCCATCTCCTCCTCTTCCATTTCACCTGCGCCTGGAGGCTCACTCTCACTTTCTCGGCCCTCGGCTCCCAGCCCAGGTCTGTAGAAGCCATCGAGGCTTTGCTGATCTCTGGACCTGTTCAGCTTGGAAATCTGGGGGAGGGACACATCACTGCCATGAGAAGAATGTCGATCCAGGGACGCTGCGTCATCAGTGGAAGAACTGGATCCGGTGATATCGCAGACCGACTGCTCTTCCTCAGGCTGTAAGGAAGAGAAGGCACACGTGGTGGAAACTGGCAGGACCAAGCGGACAGCCTCAGTTATTTCAGATCAAGTCCAAGGCTTCCCAGTGAGTCCCAGACGGGCAAGATCATAACTGGATTCGACCAAACAATGGGAATTGTTTTCGAAAGCATGATCAAAGTGGAATTCAAATGCCTTGGCCTCCAGTAAAGGAATGGTCTAGGTCTATCCTCTTACAAGAGGTACTAGACTAGAAATAATGTTTTCTTTCTTACAGAGGGGAAAAAAATGTAACTTACGTCAGTTTTTTTTTATATATAGCCAACACCATCAACCCAAATATGGAGCAAACCCATTTGTCTCTTGGGTTTCTGCCATGTGAAAACTAAATTTGTATCATAATATGTTTAATCATTTTTTTAAATAATTAATTTTATTATTATTATTATTATTAATTTGAGAGAAACAGAGAAAGAGAGAAAGGGAACGTGAGAAAGCAAGCTACCAGGTGCGGGACTCAAACTGTGGTTGGCCATATGGGAGTCCAATGCCTCAACCACCAAACCAACTGATGGCCCTGGTTTAATTATTTTAACAAAGTGATATGCTCAGCTACAACAAATAATGGGTGAAGTTAGTACTTAAAAACCAAGACTGTGATTATTACACCAGCCCTAGCAAAATAAAAACTCACCTTCCACTGCCTGAATTTCTGATTCCTAAAACCATATCCAGATGGGCCGAATGGATCCCACATGGCCACCTGTGCAGTTCAAGTACCAGACCCAGTGGCTTGAAAAGCACACCAGGCTCCTGTGCATGTGTGTCCCAAATGCCAAGAGGAGAATGGGGAAAGAGGCATGTCCACCACCCCTGGGATAGGTGGGTGCTCTCGCGCTTGCTCTCGCTCTCGCTCTCTCTCTCTCTCCAGTGAGTGTACAGGCCCTCTAGCAGAGAAAAAAAGAAAAAGGAAAAAGAAAAACCCAGGGACAAACAGCAGGAGCATCAATAAAGGAAAATGTGTTTCGAGCCTGTTCTAAGGAAAGGACTTCCAGGGAAACAGAAGCTCTGAGTCAGTTTCCCCTTGTGCATTTGTCACCTATTCTTCTTAAAAGGTAGCCCTTTCCCACTTTGGAAATGACTCACAGCCAGTGGGATTGGAGCGGCTGCACTTGGGCATCCAGTCTTGGAAGGATGCAGCCTTGAAAAGTGACTTGCTATCTTTCTGGCACTTTCATTAGAAACTGACGAACATAATTATTTTTCATTAGAAAAGTGGGAAACTCTTTGGTGGCCTGTTTATACAAATGAAAAGGATGGGGGGGGGTTATCTAGGACACATCCTTATCCCAGCCGGTTCTTTTACTGTGTGCTATATTTCCTAGGTATGCTCTCCAAACTCTGAATATGGCTAGTAGTCTTCGCTGCAATTACATTCTTTCTCTAGTCTTGGATTCCTGTAACAGTAAAGTTCACATAGTAGAGTATTCTTACACTCAAGTACTTTACTGTATCATTCCACTTTAATTCTGAGCTGGTGATTATAACTTAAAAGGAACAACGGGAAAAAACTGAGACTCGAGACTGAGCTCAATTATTAAACACTAAGGCAAATTGTTTCTTTAATCTTGGATTAAATTTAAAGATGGCTCTAACTTACATTTTCCCAGGATTTTTAAGTGGACGCAAAAGGGTTTCACAACTTCATCAGCTCTCTATACAGTCTCTGCAGAACAGAACGTAGTGGCCTAACCAGAAACCAATCCCAGAACAGCCATGGCCTTTCTAGAGCTGGGTGTAACTACGGACAAGGCTTTTCCCTCGGCCTACCTAATATGAAAGACTTAAAATAGATGATCTTTAGATCTGAAGGAGGTAGAAATTAATCTAAGGTTTATTCAAAGATAATGTCAATTTAAATAATGGATAACAGGAAAGAAGAAAATCAGAGTTTATTACACATTTAAATGTTTTCTTAAGTGCCAGAGGGCATGTATGCTTGTTAGAGACAGAGGGAGAGAGGTTGAGCAGCCCCAATGGTGTGTGGTCATACTACAATCCGTGGTCCTTGATCTGTCCATCCTGTCAGGACTTGAGTCATACACGCATACTCGCCTGGCCATGTGGGACCTGGCTCCCTTAACCACTAGGCTACAGGGCTGCTCCTCATTTTTTTTAGAGAGAAAATTCCTTCACAGTCCCTGAATCTATTAGTGCTAACGCTCTTAGATTTGTTAAATAATAGAGATTATTCCATCCCTTGTTCTCTCTGGCATCTGAGCTCCCATTTAAAAAGGAAAGTACTAAGCATGTGGGACTGCTGTTTTCCCACTAATGAATTAGAAAGGGAAAAAACTTATGGCTTCATTAGGCTGGCCCCATGGGATAGTGATTAAGCACTGTACAGAGAGAGCCAGATCCCATGTGGCTGACCAAGGTTCAAATCCCAGCCCAGCGGCAACACACTGGGCATATGTGCCCAGGATTCTGAAGGAATGGAGAAATGCAGAAGAGTGGAGAACAATGTGACCAGGTCCTGCTGAGGGAGTTTCTCTCTCCGGCATGCCCATTTGTCCTCTAGTGAGACAGACAGACAGACAGACAGACAGAAATGAGCACCCTCCATGGGTCTGGTCACTCCACCACCCCCTTCCTCTAGTCCTCCAGCCTGCCAAATCGGAGTCACTTGAACTGCTGTGCTGTGTCTGCTGTGTTTCAGGCTGACCAGGCAGGGGATCCGAACTTGCCACTGTGGAATCCGACTTCCCTCGAATAGGACATACTGCTGAGCCACAGGGCCAGCTCTGTGTGTGTGTGTGTCCATGTGTGTTTCAAAAGAAATTTTTGCTATAGGGTGTGTGCACCCACCAGAAAGACAGAGAGAGAAAAGAGAGACAAAATGTGAGAAATCACCCCCTCAGTGGAGATGGCCACATTGCAATCCCTTCTCTTCTATTCTCTTCTCGGGATTTAGGGCATGGATGCACACGTGCCCGGCGTGAGTTTTAGGCCGCTGGGTCTGGGACTCAAACTACGTGGTCGACTACGTGGGAGTCCGGCCATGTAACCATTACACCATGTGCTGGTCCTGTATGTGTGCTTTTTAAAGGATAATTTTTCAACTTGTTGATCGCATACTTGAGAGCAATCTACAACACATGAAAGAAGTTTCCTTCACAAATTTTCTTAGGCAAGTTACTCTGATTTTTTTTAATCCACTGTAGATGCATTCTGCAACCTGGAGGACAGCTCTGATTTAACTCTCTTTGGAAAAGAGGCAGCAAGTGTAAATTTATAAACTGCACTTTCTCCGTTAGTGCCAAAAAAAAAAAAAAAAAAAAAAAACTAACCATTTCTTCTCACTTGAAAGACAAAAACCTTATTTCTTGCTGGTGATCTACAGAGAAAACGACCGTAGGAACAGCAGATATTCATGAAAATAAAGACAAAGCTCCTAACACTGACCAGACTCTGACTTTCTAGGCACACACTGAACGGAAAGGCACAGTTCAAGTGAAAAGTTCATGACAAACATTACAAGTTTCTAAAGAGACCTCTTTAAGGCCAGAATCACACACATGCTGTGGGAAGTGACCTGATGCACCCTCATGGCTGACAGAAAGGGATGCTGCCATGTCCTGCCTACTCATTATTTCTGAGAGAAAGAAAGAGAGGGGGGGACATTCTGATGTTTTGCGGCATGTGCTGTACGGGTGACCCCTGAGGAAGACTTTAAAGGACATAGCTAGAGGCCCATCTGCCACTGTCACACTTCTAGACACATCAGTGGCTAGTAGAACAGCTCTTGGTGATCGAGAGCCAAATGACACAAAATGAACAGATTCCAGAGCAAATGTTAATCAACTGCAGAGTAATTTTAAATCACCCTCTTATTAGCCAGAGTCTTCACTTCCTCTGGGATATAATGAAAGTAAAACCACCTACCTGTCAGGGTTGCTGGGGAAAAGAAATGAGGTCAAATAAGTAAAATATTCAGTTCAGTGTCTATGGCACAGTAAGTGCTCTGTCAATATTAGTTTGTTTCTTTTCTTTTCCTTTCAGAAGTAAGCCCCTGCTCTCCTAATTCTAGAGAAAACATTTATTGCAAAGCCCTTCTGATTGTAAAGCCCTTCTGGTTGCAAACCACCCTGGTAGGGTGGTATGAATACTAAGGAGAAAAACCCTCTCTCTCCCTAGGCCATCTAGATATTCTCGTGCATGCATGACAAAAGGGAAATGAATCCACTTCTGATTTTCCCTAAGCACTGTGGTATGAAACATAGGTAGAAGTTTATTTGGGGTGAATGCTTCAACTTCTAATAGCTCTGTCTAGTCTTCCTGAAAAAAAGTACCAAATCTAGCACAAGTCATTTGTATGAACAGCCTCCTTAAAGGCTTTTGGCAGGTTGGATGAGGTGCTAAAATAGAGAAAATTCTAATTGTCCATCGCTAGGAAAACCATTCAGTTTAATCACCAGAAATAACCAGCACTTCGAAGAGATGGCAGTACCCATGACAAGCTGCCGTGCACGGAGGAAGCAGCAAGCGAGCATTTCTTAATGAAGACACCTTCATTTTTAAAAACCTTTTTACTATGAAAACTTTCAAACACACATGAATGTTTAACAAATCTCCACGTACCATGACCCAGCTTCAGTGATTATCAATAATCCCAGTTTTAAGCTGGAACTTAAAGATACCATTCAATCTGTTTATCTAAGACAAAAGCGGTATGTTTTTAAGAGATATGTACTTTCAGAATGGACTTCTTGGGAGGAATAGGAGTTCTCACAATTAAAACTTCAAAGCCATGGAGGAAATTACCCAAATTCTGACACTTAAACCAAGGGGCCAGCACTTGGTGTGGTGGTTAAGGTGCTAGACTCCCACATGTCTGACCACGGTTCAAGTCCTGGACCCAGTGGCTTGAAAATCACACTGGGCGCGTGTGCATGTGAGTGCCCAAAATCCCTTGAGAAGAACGGAAGAGAAGGGACTGCATCATGGCTGGCCCCTCTAGGGGTGATTTCTCACTGTCTGTCTGATTTTTACTCCCTAGAGTAAAAATCTCTTACAAAAGTAAAATAAAACAAAACAAAACAATTTAGAGAAGAGCAGATCCTCCCCATGTGTGGCGTTTTTACAGAATCCCCTGAGTCAATTCACAGTAAGAGTGACAGAAAGCCTGACGTTTACACTGTGCGTTCCCAGGGACCTTGGGAGAACAATGAGTCCAAGAGGAAGGAAGAAGGTGGGAGAGGGCTAGGGAAGGTCAAACGGGACCCTGAGTGCAGCTGGACAGAAAGCAAGGAAGGTACCCAGGGAACACTTGCACACACTTCACTGTGTTCCAGCGCGGATTCCGGAACCTTAGCCTCCCTTCAGAGAGCTCATTTTAAAAAAAAGAATTATTTAATTTTACTTATCATTATTTTTTTAAAAATTGCTATAGGGCATGTGTACTCACCAGAGAGAGAGAGACAGAGATAGGCAGAGAGACAGAAACAGAGACATAGATTGAAACCGTGATTGGCCATGTGGAAGTCCAGCATCCCAGCCACCGCTGTCCCTCCTACTCTTACCTTGAACACAGCATCTCACACGGCCTTGCATAACTTAATCATCTGCCAACAAACCTGCTCTCACCACTGCTCCCGAGTCATCACGAAACCAGAATGAACGGTCTTCACAGTTGCCATGATGTTTCCACCCCCTCACCCCTTTACTATTAAGAAAAACCACACACGCAGCAGATAATTGAGTACCACTGCTGTGAGAGAGCCCTCTATTTTTCTTAGGGGATGAACCAAAACTTGCTGCAACTAGAAACAAGCAAATGCAAGCACGCCGCCCCATGCCCCACTCCTTTAGCCAGCCTCAAATCATCCGCAGACATGAGCCGATTCATGTGGATGGGCTTGTCACCATGGAGAAAGTGTGGATTCCCAAGCAGGGATCTAGAAAGTTCCAGCTAAGCAGGCTAGCTGAGGACGGGTGACATCACCACGCTGAGCAGCGAGCTTCAGGCCTAAACACATTAATCACAAATGACTCTCTGGTTAGTTTATACACATGACCTCATAGAGTCTGAGTTGTGGTCCCGTTGGCCCACTGAAAAGTGCTCATTGTCATCTGACTTAACTCATTTTAAAAGGAACTTCCATTTCTTTAGACTTCGATGTGAACTTCAAAACCTGCATTGTAACCAACTACAATATTGAAGGAGGGAAAAAAAAAAATTGGCCAGTGACTTATTCCAAGATCTGGCAGGCTGGAGTTCCCTTCTTCAAAAGAGAACACTGACAACTCTTCCCAAGAGTGAATGAGACTCTGTTAAGGCTGGCAAGTTACCAGCAGGGGCCGCCTGCCGAGGGCGATCGTTGCTTTGGGAAGACGAAGCACACAAGAGAATGGAACCAGGTGGGAAAGTTTTACGGAAGGCCACACAGGGACATGGGAGTCACGAGACAGAAGTGAAAGGGCGGTGCACCCAATACCTTTGAGAAGACGAGGCTGTCCATCTCATCACTGGGCGAGTGGAAGAGGTCAGAATCACTCCCAGACGCTCTTTTCAGGATGCCTTCTTTTGAGGCACAATCTCTGTCGAGTCCAACATCCAGAAAGTTCTCACATTCTGAAAAAGAAAATTTATTCTTAAATATTCACTTTCTATCCATGCCAGCAACTAACCTTTCAAATCCCTCTCTTGCTCTTTCTTCTCTTCTTTCATTTCCTCTTCTTTTTTTAAATATTAAGACGCTGTGAGACACTGCCAAGGAGCAGTTTGGGGAAAGATGATTATTCCACGGATTGAGGCAGGGAGGGGACGGTTTCAAGATGATGCAAGCCCATGTGCTGTGCACTGCAGTTTTAGTATGGCTACATTATAATAAGGACCGGTAATGGCCTATGGCGCAGAGGTTGGAGACCCCTGCTCTGAAGGACACGGTGAAACCGGTGGCGTTTGGCTCTGCCGCTGTACTTCCAGGCTGACACACATACCAGATGAGTCATGAGTTTGCCATGCTTATCTTAGGTACAGAAGGATAAAATGATCGAGGACCACAGTCTATCTATATTTAGGGATGGGAATGGTAATCGTTCCCTTGGAGTATTTAGGGAATTGTTTCCTTTGCCACCCAATTCAAAGTACGAGGAAACCACGTGATAGGATTTGTGGCCAATTCCTGTTCTGAGACTAAAGGCTCTTTCTGGAAACTTGTCACTGTATAAAAATAGTGGGATAAAAGACAAAGGGGAGGCACATACCTGATTAACATATCGGTATACTCAACTTACAGGTTCCACTGAGATGTAATACTTT